CGACCCGAAATGTCAACTTTCCTGCTCCTCTGATGCTGCCTAGCCTGCTGTGTTCCTCCAGCTCCACACTGTGTTATCTCATATTACAAATGTAAGTTTCTGTTGACATTTCTAGTCAGCGCTACTAAAGGTGCTGTTAACATAGCTCATGTGAACAAATTATCAGCGTTTATTGTGGCATTTTGCTACATTAAAGCTGTTGTTGAGTAGCCAATTAAAGTAACCGATTTAATGCATTGGCTTCACTCACAATTCATTACAATTCATGGGCAACCTGAATCGAACTCAATATTGTGGCAGCGTTTACTTTCACAAAATTGAGGGCGGCATGGCAGTTCAGTAGCAGTGCCAATGACCTGGGTTCAATTTCACCCTCGGGCAACTGTCTGTGTGGAGTTTGTGCGTTCTTTCCGTGTCTGCATGGATTTTCTCGGGGTGCTCCAGTTTCCTCCCACAGTCCAAAGATGTGCAGGTTAAGTGGGTTGGCCATGCTAAATTGCCCTGTAGTTCCCAGGGATGTAAAGGCTAGATGGATTAGTCATGGAAATGCAGGGTTACAGGGATAGGGTAGGGAGGTGGGTCTGTGTGGGATGCTCTTTGGAGGGTTGGTGTGGACTCAATGGGCCAAATGGCCTACTTCCACTCTGTAGGGATTCAATGGTTTAATTGCAAGCTGCTGTGCATTATATTTCCATTTATTTTTGAGCTGTAGTTACATAAACTGTATCATTAACAATGTACGGTTATGATCCCACTGATGGTAACACCATACAATTCAGATTCCAGAATGAAACCTGGCCTCTTAGAACGTGTTTTATTTTTGTGATTTGGTTACATGGCTTATTCAGATGTTCACAGGAGTCTGTCCATGTACTTTTAACAAAAGTGAAAATGTTTATTATACAAAAGAAGAAAGTAATATTATTAGACAGTTTTAAAGATTTTAACATAAACAGTCATAGAAGTGAGGCTGCAGAGGGAGAAATGAAGCCGCAGGGGGAAGAGATGCAACAAATAGGGAGAAGGGCTGAAAATGGAAGACAGCAGTTGCAATCATAATGATTTAAGCAGCCAGTATACAACGCATTGCTTCAGGCAGAAATCATTACAAATCATGGGTAATCTAAATCGTACTCAGTTCTGAGGAAGGGTCACCGGACCCGAAACGTTAACTCTGTTTTCTCCTCCACAGATGCTGCCAGACCTGCTGAGCTTTTCCAGCAACTTTGTTTTTGTTCACGCTTATGTGCACTGACTCTGCATCAGGAATCTCACACACTGCTGAAGGTTCAGTTTTGCAAAGCATTTCAGATGCAGAAGAAACTTTGTATTGAAACAATTAAAAGTATTCAACCTCCTGAAGATGTACCACAATATAAATAGGTTTTGATATAATGAAATAATTTAAAATCTTATTGAAAAATCATTAACTTGAATGATCTGAAACATGGCCCATGTCTTGCAGTCAGCGTGAATGTTCGGTGCATTGATGGTGCCTCTGAGGATTTCTGTGAGTTCACCCCTTTTCACAAATTTTCTGTTGGACTTTCCAATCTCAGCTGAAGCATCAAAGTGTCAGCAGAGTTTTTTAAGGGGAAGACTGTTGGGTGCTAGAAAAGCTGGAGAAAGACATGACAGATTCCTCTTTTTATGACAGTAGCCATTGTATTCTGCCACATCTTTAAAGGTCCAATTGTTTCTGTGGGTTAGTGAGTGGCTGGTCATGTGGTGGGTTCGATTGAGAAGGGATAGTCAGGTGATGCAGGGGTAATTGGAATGGGTGGAGTTGTTGGCTGGTGGGGTCACAGTCCAGTTTAGGTACCATTGGATAGAGTTGGAGGGATAGTTGCATTGGGGTTGGGGTGATGTGATTAGGATTGCCAATTGTGGTGAGCAGTTCAGTTACACATGTTAATCACTGAGTTACCTCAGGTATGAACAGTGTATCATTTCTTGAATAAATATCCAGATAAGTTTCACACATCTGGTTCATGTCTCTGACACTGAGATCAGTGTTGGACGATGTTCACCAAATCAACTCACTGAGTAAATGTAGATGGACAAAAACCATTATAGATTGTTCACAGAGGGTCAGAGGCAATGGAAACCAGCACACTGAAAGCCTAAACTTCCAAAACAAGTTACCACATGCATGCACACGTCAAGACTTTTAATGGATCTTGACACACCTCTCTCAGTTTGCATCCAAACTCTGGTGACTTGGACACTGGAAAATTAGGGCAATTAACTAAGATATACTAGACATATGCAACAGTTAAATGTCAACATATCAGCATTTAAGAATAGATTAGGGTTGCTCAATGGAAAAGAGGTAAAGAAAAATGTGAAGAGAGCAAGCGGATGAGATTAGCACCTGTGAAATTGAGAATAAACTATACATGGTTGGATCAAACAACCTTGTTTCTGCTGAAAATTCAATGAAAAATTGTCAAAAATTATCTATAATTCACCACTCAGTCTTACAATTTGCAACTAATTGTAGTGTAGGCTAATCTCATTAATAAAGTATTAGTAAGTCTTTCATAGATTTTAGCAAATAGAGGGAGGAATATCTTATTGTAACATCATAAAAGACATGATATACTGATGAATCACTTTATACTTCATTGATAAAGTTCAACACGTGATGGTGACTGTTTAACTTTACTCAACAGGAAGTTACTCGCGCTCATAAAGGTTGGGCACTCGATAGTGTGGTTTTGTGCAATGAAGTCAGCAAATGGATGAAAGATGACATCACAGCTCCCCCTTCGGAGGGAGTCTATGTGTATGGGTTGTACTTGGAGGGAGCTGGATGGGATAGGCGGAATTCAAAGCTCATTGAATCCAAGCCTAAAGTGCTATTTGAGTTGCTACCTGTGATACATATTTCTGCTCAAAATAATTTGAGTAAGTATGCAATACATTTTCAATTCTTTAAAGTGACTGAGCTGAATTTAGAATATTAAAATCATGTGATATAGATATGCCTAATAAACATCAGTGAACTGTAATTTTCAATTCTATTCATTATAAAGTATTTTGAGATTTAACACTGGTAAACATTGGTTTAAAAAATCTGAATTATTTGCGAGCTTCATTAATCCTTGTTCCTCTGGATCCGTGTCAAATGAGCGCTGGAATAACTGACAAATTTGTTTAGTGAATGCAAATTAAAGAGAATATAAACAGCTTTGTATACAGCTTGACCATTGATTTATCGCTAAAGCCATCTTACACGATTTTCAATACCCCTTTTCTACGTGTGGTTCACTTTTCTGTGTGTTTTTTAAATTCGTCCATGGAATCCAAAACTCTGAAGCGTACATTTTGATGCATTCTGAGTCCCAATTGTCATAACTTGAATCCTCATACAATGAGATACAATCTGACATTGACTTCCCATTCCCCAAAACCTCATTTGCAAATTTTGGTCTTATTATTATGTTCCTCCATGACCTTACCTCACCCAACTCCTATTATCTCCTAAAAACTTACTCCTGAAATCTTCATTCTCCATTCCTCTAATTTTGGTCTTCTGGTCAGTTTTTAAAAATGTTATACTCTTAAATAGTCAGGGATTTAAATTTAGAATGTAGGGTAGGTGGTATCTAATTTCCAAGTGACATTTTCTTAATTCAGAGTGACTACTGAATTTATTAATGTTCAGTTTGGAAGATTCTGAGTGTTGCATATGCAACGCTTAATTTTACTTAACTCCTACTGAAAACCTGTTTGTTTCTTCTCACCAAGGTGTCAAGGATCCTCGGTTGTATTCATGCCCAATTTACAAAAAGCCAGTGAGAACTGACCTAAACTATACAGCTACAGTGGACCTGCGAACAGTTCAGCCCCCTGAACATTGGATTTTACGTGGAGTAGCACTTCTTTGTGATGTCAAATAAACATGATGTAGCAGAAACTGTGAAAATCATTCCATCGAACTCACTGACTTATTAGCATTTGTTTCTAATATACATATCAACCTTTCAACTTTGCTGCAAATTATTTTTTAAAATGTGTCTGGTTAAAATACAGAAAAAAATAAATAATGTGATGGAGGATTTTTGTCTGAATTAATATGATAATTGATATTTATTGATTTTAAGTTCCTGTAATTATTTTAATTTTGATTGTGAATGCATCTTGCATAAATTTGATATGTTAGTTTTTTTTCCCAGATTTAAATACAAAAGTTGAAAAATGCTTTCTTCTGCTGTGTTGGTGATAGCTATTTCCATTTTAGTTTATTTTGTACACAACGCTGAGTCCTTTTACCTTTGATATCCACCTGCAGAAAAAAATTCTTCAAAGCCAGAGTTTTTAAGCTTATATGCCCTAAGGCCTTGATGTTTGTAATCATGCCTTTTAATAAGTAGTACATATCAGCAATCATACTGGAAGTAATCTTTGTACCAAAATTGTCAACAAATTTTATAAAAGCATGACAAAATTTTCAGTTTTATAGGTGTACCATAAATAGTCTATTTAATTATGCACACAAATTCAAAACCTCTGTGAGAACTCATTCAGAGTATCAATACATTACTTTAAAGCTTGAAAAATATATAACAAAATGTCATTGAAAGCATGTTTTTTTATGCTATGTTCATTAGAAATTTTCAGTGGCTACTATTTACCTCCCTAAATGCCACTATGTATTGATTTCGAGATTGTAGAAGGATAGACATAATACATTTCTAAAGTTTTTGAGAAGCTTTGTAGCTCGGGTTGCGGATGAGGTTGTAGAATTGCTCGCTGAGCGTTTGTGTTTGATTGCAGACGTTTCGTCACTGTACAGAGTTTTTAAAAGTAATGGATACCCAAAGAGTGCAATGTGCCGTTACCTCCGCAACAGACCACAACAAGAAGACAAACACGGCCAGACACACTAGTCAACCTACCGTACATCAGAGACATACCAGAGATGACCAGAAGACTACTCAGACCCCTAGGTATCAGGGTAGCCCACAAACCAACAACCACCCTGCAACAGCTACTGACAAACATAAAGGATCCCATACCCACAACCAATAAAACTAACATAATGTATAAAATACCATGCAAGGACTGTGAGAAACATTACATAGGCCAAACTGGAAGAAAACTGACAATAAGGATACATGAACACCAACTAGCCACCAAGAGACACAACCAATTCTCACTGGTCTCAATACACACGGGCAAAGAAGGACGTGAATTTGACTGGGACAACGCATCTATATTAGCACAAGCCAAACAGAGACATGCCAGGGAATTCCTGGAGGTCTGGCATTCCAACCGGAACTCCATCAACAAGCACATTGAACTGGACCCGATATACAAACAACTGAAAAATAGAACCTGAAGTAATGCCAACCACCCCAGCAAACCGAGGCATATAAATAACAAGTGGGACAGAACACCAACGCTTCACGGGCGGCTCACTGACAATGCAGGGTGATGAAATGTCTGCAATCAAACATACCGGCTCGGCAAGCAAGTCTACAAGCTCATAATACATTTCTAGTTGAAGAGTAATACATTCTCCATTACATATTGTAGCAATAAGTGCCATAAAATACTGTGGTGAGCAATGTCATTGGAAAATGCATTTAAATTCATAGAATTTGTTCTGTTCATACTGTGATTTCAACAACCACAGCCAACTTACACATGCTAGATATGACTCCAAACAGTAGAGAGTTTTCCACCTGATTCCCATTACTTCCAGTTTTTTTTTCAGGCTTCTTGGTGCTATATTCAGTTAAATGCTAACTTGATGTAAAAGGCAGTCTGTCTACTTCACGTTTGGCGTTCAGCTTTTTTGTCTGTTTTTGGACTGTAATAGTGTCAGGAGCAGACTAGCTCTGGTGCACTCAAACTTAGCATCAGTGAGCAGGTTATTCCTTTGCAAGTGCTACTTGATAGCACTGTTGATGATTCTTCCCATCACTTTGCTGATGATCAAGAGTAGACTGATGAGGTGGTAATTGACTAGGTTGGATTTGTCCTGCTTTTTATGAACAGGACATAGATTTCATACAGCATGGAAGCAAACTGTTTGGTCCAATTCGTACTTGCTGACCAAGTATCCCAAACTAAACTAGTCCCACTTGCCTGTGTGGCTCATTTTCCTCTGGACCTTCCCTTTTCATATACCTGACCAAATGTCTTTTAGATATAACTGAGCAATTTTCTACATTGTTGCGTAGATGTCAATGTTATAGCTGCACTGGAACAACTTGGCTAGGGGCAAGGGTAGTCCTGGAGCACAAATCCTCAGGACTGTTGCTGGAAGATTATCAGGGACCCATAGGCATTGCAGTATCCAGCGCCTTCAACCATTTCTTGATATCACATGCAGCCAATGGAATGACTGAAGACTGGCACCTGTGATGCTGAGAACCTTGAGCAGAGGCCATGATGATCATCCACTGTGCACTTCTGGCAGAAGATGGATGCACATTCTTCGGTCTTGTCTTTAGCATTGATGTGCTTTATGTCATTGAGGATGGAGCGCTGTTATTCTTCTCTTGTTAGTTATTTAGTTATCCACCACCATTTTTAACTGGATATCGCAGGTCTGATCTATTGGCTTAGGATCACTTACACTGAGTATTGCATTGTTATTTCTCCTTCAGTTTGTGTGTGCCCAGTTTTGAGTTTCTAGATATATATTAAGGCTGTCCCGTATAGCCCAGTGATAATGCCATACAACATGATAGACAGTATCCTCAATATGAAGACAGACTTTGTCTCCACATGATTGTGTTTGGTCACTCCCATTGATATGTCCCAGACAGATGCATCTGCAACAGATAGTTTCTCTTATTCACTTATGGGAAGTGGGCATCACTGGCTGGCCAGCATTTATTGCCCGATCCTACTTATCCTTAGGAAGGTTGTAGTGAGCTGCCTTCTTTAAGGTTGATCCACAGTGCCCCTCAGGGAGGGAATTCCAGGATTATGACCCAGTGATGGTGAAGGATTGGCAACATAATTCCAATACAGAGGAGAGCAAGCCAGCATGGGGAAGAGTGACAGACCGTAGGGAAGAGTGAGAGAATGTGAACGAGAGAGAGCCCAACACGGAGTACAGCAAGCCAGCATGGGGTAGTGCAAGAGAGGGATCTACTGCATGAGAGTCAAACCCAGTGCTGCAGCGATAGAGGTCCCCTGACATCCGTGGTGGCTGCGAGAGCAGGCAGGCCAAGGTCTCCCAGCATCTGCAGTGCCATCGAGTGTGGGGAGATCAAGCCCAGCACAGAGGAGTTCAAACCCTTGTGGGGTGTGTGAGCTCAGCGTGGCTAAGCACTTAAGAAAGACTGTAATATTGAACTTTTCACTTTATTTCTTTATTCTTCTATTTTATACTAAGAAGGACTTTAATGTTGACCTTTTGACTGTATTTCCTTATTTTTCTACTTTGTACCTAAGATTGTGTACCTAGGTACCTTTGTATCTAAGAGGGCACTGGGAATGGCGACATTGTACACTTTTCACTGTACTCCTGTATCCCTGTACTTGAGTACATGTAACAATAAAATCTAATTAATTTTAATTTAAAGTCAAGATCATGAGTCGCTTGGAGGGTACCTGCAGGTGGTGGTATTCCCATGTGTCTGCTGGTCTTGTCCTTCTGCATGGAAGTGGTCGTGGGTTTGGAAGGTGCTGTCTAGGATCTATGGTGAATTTCTGCAATGCTTTTTGGTAAATAGTACACATTGCTGCTACTTCGATTGGTGACGTTGAGATCAAGTTTTTCCCTCACCACCTGCTGCAAACTCAGTCTAGCAGCTATATCTGTTAGTATTCGACCAGCTTGTCACTGGGGCACACTGAAGACCCGTACCCAGAGTACATTCTGTTCCCCTGCCACCCTTGTACTTTCTCCCTTTGGTAATCAACACAGAGGAGCACTGATTCATTAGCCAAGAAAATGGGGGAACAGTGATAATCAGCAGGAGGTTTCTTTGCTCATGTTTGACCTGATTGCATGAGGCTTCCTGTGGTCCAAAATTAATGTTGAGGACTCCTATGTGTCTCCCTCATGACCGTTTATCGCTATATTACCAGCTGGCAAAACAGGGCATGCCAAGGGATGGTGATGATGTTACCTGGGATATGGCCTGTAAGGCTTGTTTCTCTGCATAAGACAATGCTGTGTTGTGTAGTTGTAAGACTGTTACTTTATATCAACCAAGGCAGATGCACAAAAAACATTAATCTGATACTTTTAAAATGTCCAAATGATAATGTGAAAAAAGGTAATAATATTCCAACATGAACAAAGATCCACACACCATTAACAATCAAATTAATATTGAAAACCAATTTTGTTACCGCATTCAGCTCCTCCCCGCCACCCCTATCCCATGTCATTTCACCCTTTCAATGTCATCTCTTTTCTGAAGTCTCCATCCTAGTCGACGTGTCATTCCATACTTTCATGATGATTCCTCAAAACCCCTCTCCGCTTCATGCTATTCTCAGCTCTCTCCTTCCCATTAAGCCCTCTCCAATCCCTCCAATTAAAACAACCCCGGTCACACCAATCGTTGGCAGCTCCACGTGCCTAATATATTCCAATTCTTCACCTATCCATTGTACCTTCATGTGCAGTGGCTGTGCCCACCAAATCAACTCACTGAGTAAGTGTAGATGGACAAAATCCATTATCGATTGTTATTGATATTATTAGCTGCTCGGCTACAAGGTATGTCATAATGTCATTATATTTGAACAAATGTTCACAGACTGAAATGTGAATTTGAGATAAGAAATCTTTGCAATCACTTTATTGTTGCTTTTATTTAGAAACATAAAGTTAGTTGAATTTTATTGACTGGCAATACCATTTGCAAGAGCTACTATTTCGTACTCAGATGCAGAGATGCAGCATTGATCTGTTTCCTCAGGGATTGATTCTTCAAAGATGTAGAAATTGACATTTTCTAAAGGTCATTTTGCTTCAATTCCCAAATAGAGGACATAGTCCTCATCATGGCGTAAGCCTTTTCTTTTGTTTTAAGAAGATAATTTGTGTTTATATTTTCCTTTGGCATTTTCTGCAAGTGTTTCTCATACATAGCTGTGCTGAGATAATTGATGCATTGTATGAACTCACTGTAATTCATTGATGAATCATGTCTCTTGGAAAATATAACATTTCAAACTAATCCCTGGGTTAATTGAAAGAGACTTTAACCCAGATGATGATAATCACTCCCTTACCATTTAAACCAGAACATACTAACATTAGAAGATAGGTACAACAGTAAGCTATTCAACCCCTCAATCCTGTTAAATCATTTAAATGGCTAATCTGCACTGTAACGATAACCACATAGTTTCAATTTAATTCCAGATTTCTTTTAGCCCTTGCCTAGAAGAAAAATGTTGCCAATTTCAGATTTAAAACAATTTAAATAAATGAGGGATGCGGCTGATTGGGGCTACAAAGGGATTTGTACATGGAAGCAAAGTGCATGGCTGAAGTATTAAATGGGTACTTTATATCTGTCATTACTAACAAAGGAGATGCTTTCAATAGTGAGAGAGGAGTTGCATATGACAGTTGGTGGGCTAGAATTGATAGAGGTGTTAAAAAGACTGGTTGTACCTAAAACAAGTTAAATTACATGGACTAGTTGGAAATATTTTTTAATCAACCTTTTCAGAGATATTGTTACATAGCTCTGGAGTAAGCAGGACTTGAACCTAGGCTGTTAGACAACAGGGAGGGACACAAGCACTGTACCATAGAAGCCACCCTATGGACCAGTTTGGATGGTGTGGAGGATAATGAGAGAAGCGGGTAAGGAGAAGGAGAAAGAATTGAATATCTTTCAATCATTAGATGCAGGAGAACTGACAGTATTACACCTTTGTTCAAAAGGTGTAGCAATACAGGCCAATCAGTTTTGCTTAAATCACGTG